TTTGTATTTACTGCCTTTCTCCTCAACCTTATCACCAGCCCTCAGATAGCTCAGGGAAAGAAAAAGCTTATCAAAACTTCAGGGCTGCACAGTGCTGAGAAAGCAGGCAGCACACTAAGACCCTGGCAGCTTGTTGCATTTGCATCCCTGTGGGTTTTCTTTTTTTTTTTTTCTGTTTTACTATTTTCAGTTTTTGTAACAAGCAATAAAAAGAATTGATGATTCAGTGTGGGATGCAGGAGACTCAAAGAAACTGGAATTGAGATGTCTCGACTTCCCAGAAATTTGCTTTAAGCACAAAAATACGAGTATTTAGAATGGAGCAGAGTACCTCTTAAATGAATTTACACAGAGATGATAGAAGATTGCAATGGGCACATGCAGAGTGTTAAGCATATTTAGTAGCCTACTTTTCCTTACAGATAAGCTGTTCTCAATACTTTTTTTGCAAAGCTAAGCAGTGGCACTATATAGGTAATGATTATGGGCTACTCCAATGAATGCACAAAGAGATTTTCAATTCTGTGTGTAGTACCAGTGACTACAATGGGATTATTTCTGTGTGTGAAGTCAGCCTGGAGCATAAGTGTGGGCAAAATTGAATTGTGGCAATGATTGAATATATATACTTGACCTCTTGAAAAAAGGCTGTCAGGTGACAGAAATTACGAAAGTTTGGTGTGGATCTTCTGTTCTGGAAGATCAGTTACGGATTGTCTTGAAAAGTGGGTGTGTAATCTACATATAATCCAGCATTGCAAAGCAAAAGAACTGGAAATGTAAGTGAAGAACCAGTTGTTAAGATGCTGTGTTCTCTTACATCTTCTCAGATGAAAATCTTTCATCTGAGGCTCTTGAAGCACTCGGTGCTTGAGTGAGCGTTATATATACTTGTAGAAAGGTTAAGTATTGTCACATGGAGCAGTGAGGAGATTATCAATGGCTGGTCAGGGATCATGCCATGAAATAATGAGCATTTGCAACTCCTAATACTCTTCTTAACGAAGAGGAATTATTTGTTCTAAAGCTCAGTGTTGGCCATAGACTGTAGGTTGGGCTCTATGTGGCCATTGCACAGAATCTTTGTTGGCCAGTTCTACCTTCTGCCTGGAACAATGAGAAGGGTATGGCTATTCCTAGAAAAGTCAAGACTGTGATAAGGAAACAGGAGATACTGTCTGCTAATGTAACTGAACTGGTCTCTTCAAAGAGAATCTCTTCAGGAGATTTGGAATAGAACACTCTCTTGCCTTTTTCTGTGGTGTCTTACCCTGCTTCCCAAAATCAAGATACCTGTAGGCCTGGTCTGCTGACTCTGCAGTGCACTATAGGCAGTGCAGATGGCCAGGATATTCTTTGCCCATCTCCTGTAACTCTGTATGTGTTCCCAGCCACACCAGCCAGCACAGCAGCATTCCCAGTGTCAGTAGTTACTCCATTCTCAGGATGTGAGACACCTCCATCAAAGCACTTCTACACTACCATAAATGGAGTTTGCCTTGGAAGACCATATTGCATAATTTATAATTAATAAACCAACGGTGAAGAATTTAAACCCCCAAAAAATTGTGCCAAGATGTGTGAAAATTTTAAGACGTTTCTGTGATTGGAGGGAGGTAATTTATTGCCATGTTTCTGAATGAGTTGTGGGCAGACTATGCAAAGCATGGTATTAAAATGATGAAGAACTAAAGGGAATTCACCTCAGCTGCTCCTGAAGGACATCCTTTTCCTTGTACTCCACTAGAGGACCAGAATACTGCTGAGTCAGGCTCTCTCGGCCCAATACCAGCAGGCTACAAATACCCCACATCCAAATCAGTGAAGGAAATCTATGAAGAATCCCTTGCCAAAAGAAAAAGCAGGAGTTATTTTTCCTTTAAAATCTGTGGTGGGATAGTGTGGGGGCACATCAGCTTGCAGATGTATTTACAGAGCCTTTCAGAGAGGACTTTGTCGGGTCGGCTGCACCAAACCTTCTTTGCAGGGATGCATGATGCGTGTGCCAAGCACTCAGAAGTGGCCTGTCCCACGGCCCACTAGGTGGCAGTTTAGGGACACGGCAGTCGCTTGGTTTTATTCATTATGCAGGAGCTGCATCACCAGAACTACGGGATTTTTTGGGGGTTTTTTGTGTTTGGGTGTTTTTTGGTAGTTTTTTTTTTTTTTCAGTTGGATGTAGCTATTTATTTTTGCCTGCCCCTGCACCGCTGGCTGCCGAACTTTGCCATCCACGTGTCCTGAAGCAGGGAGACGTGGCCAGCCCAGTGACCCAGCCACAGCCAGTGGGTACCACAGCCCTGAGCGTGGGCTGCAGGCTGGCCCTGACAGACACGTCACAGCACCCAGCTCACAAAAAATATCTTGCTCTCACAGATTTTGAAATCTTATCCTTTTTGACATTTTCACTGTGATTTATATTTGCTTTCAGTAGAACACAGGGTTTACGCTTTCTTTTCCTTTCCAGTTCCCTTTGGTTTAAAACAGTAGTCTCCTGCAATGAGACCATTAAAAAGAAAAAAAAAAAAAGAGAGGGTGTTTCTGCAAAAGTTTGTGTTCTGTTTTTTAATTAAATTTTCTTTCCTCTCTAGGCCCCTTATCTGACTTTGATTTCAGTTTTTCTGATTATTTGAAACTGACATTGTAGAATACCAATCTGTTCAGTTACTTCTATGCTGTTGGAACAAACTGATTCTTCAAAAGCTGCATTTTTTAATCTATACATGAATAACATGGAGTTGGTCAGGTTTTTTTTTTTCCTTTCCATTCTGTGGAATAAGTTAATATATTCTTGCTTTTGATGCAAGGTTTAGTGCTGACTCCCACACGACTGTGAGCACTAGAAGCTGCCTGCCTGCCTGGCCAGGTCAAGGCAGGTATCTAGAGTGCTCCCTGTCACTAAAGGGTCATTAAAACTTCTCTTTCCTGTACCCTGGCACAGTTCTCTGTTGTGCAGCAAAGCTATACCATGAGGACTTTATAGTATGTGTATTACATATCCCTCTGAAGGGCTGGATTTACTTGTGCTGTCCCTAAATGAATGAATGGGCTGTCAAATTGATGTGGCCCAAACTTACTGTGTGGTTCTGTTCATTATTTGAGCTTTGTCATCCCCAGATCACTCATGAAACCCTTGTGGACTTGGCCAGGCTACGGTTAGCAGTGCTTAGAGCCTTCATTTCTTTCAAATATATAAAAAGCTATTGTAGAAATCAGGGAGGTTATGGGCTGTTCAGCTCGCTGATAAAGAAATACTCTGTTGCATTCAATGGACTTTTAAAGGTCTTTGATTTTTGTAGATGCACAAAAAAATTGCTTTTTTTCCATTTCACTCTATTTGGCCAGAAATCTGCATTTACAGAGGAAGCCCTTCAATATATAAAAAGCTTTTCAAAATTCAAATGTTAGCATCCAGTAGTTATTAAAATTTTTAAAAATTAAGATATTCATATTCAAATACCGTAAATATTAAAGTGTGGGGGGCTCTTTGGGGTTTTTTTAACCATCAGGTAACACTACAGATGTAGCACACTTAAAAAAGGGTGAGAGAGAAATCTTGTCAGTCCCTCTCTTCCCTCTCTCCTGACAAATTTCACATGTGTTTTAAAAGAATTAATTTCAAAACTTCCTCCTCTCTGCACATATTTGATACTGTATTGTTGGAGAAGAGCAGTACCACAGAACCACATTGCCCCTGCACCTTTCTGTACAGGTCTTATTGTGTCTGTTACGGAAGAAATAATGCTATGGAAAAGTTCCTCCTTTTTAAATATACCAAATTCAGGGCTTTCTGTTGTTTTTATTTAACTTAGAGTTAAGCACTTGGAAACTTGTGACTGCTGCAGAGCTTGGTGAGCCTGTGCAGAAACCTCTTGGTAACAGTGAGTTAGGTTCTTTAGCGTGTAACAAAGTGTTATTATGGCTAAAGTCCTGGCCCCTTAAAAGTCTGAGGTTTGCCTTGGGCTTGGTTTTAAACACAGGCTTTCACCTGTGCAGAAATGAGCCTCGTTTGAGGAGGGAGCAGGATGGCAGGTTGCCCCTGCTGCCTGGGGCCATTGCCAGCCTGGCTCCAACTTGGCAGGAGCTGGGAAAGAGGAGAAGGGGCTGTCTGTCACTGCCAAGTGGCCTCAACCTCCTGCTTCTGCCTGCCTTCCCCATCTTGGAGAGCCAGCCCATATGTTCTGGACAGAAAACAGCCACACCATGTGTATAATATCATGTTTGCTGCTGTGCACCTGGGGACAGGCAGTTCTAAATTCTGCCACTGTCACCAGTGCTGTGCCCTGTCCTGGTGGAGGAAATCGAAAGGTGCAAAAAACTTTTCATGAGAGGCAAAGCAAGTGATTAATCCTCTGCTTTAGTTTGCTTTTCAGTCAGATATTTTGGGAATCAGGTGTTTTGTTTTGCAGATGTGTAGATCTGGGTGGTGAGTTTTCAGCTGGGTTTCTGTTTGAAATGTGAGAAGGGAGGAGGGAAGACTTGTCTGCTTTTTTATGACTTGTGTTTTCAGTAACTTTGCTGGAATTTTTGGTATGATTCCGGCTTTGTCACTCCAGCCTCACAAACTTCAAAGACAGAGGCTTACTCCTATGAATTGTTATTGGTTTCAGGTGATAATAAGGTGACAGGGCATATCCAAGGGTCTTTCTAGCTTTTTTCTATTCTCTTAGTTTTTCTCACAATATTTAGGTCATTATGGTAATTCTAGAAGAAATTCTGGGTACTAGATTGTTTACATTCAGAGACATGGTTCCTAATGCTTCACTAAAAAACTTTTCTCCCATTTTCCCAGCACAGTAAAATGCAAGAATATGGTTTCATTAAAAATCTGCAAAAGACATATGCCATCCATTCAGCTGTCACCCTAGATCTCTGTTTTCCCTAGTGTTGAATTGTTAAAGTAACTTTTCTTCTGTGTGTAACATTTCCTTTCATTGACTTTATTGTATGTGACTGCTAGTCATATTCTGGGTGTAGCAATGACTGATTTGTTGTTGCAGACAGAGCAACCATCTGAGGTTGAATTACATCCTCAGATGAACAGACCCCCATCACAGGCAGAAGAAAACAGTTCAGCAAAAAAGGTGAGATCTGCACACATTGTACCAATCATTATGGAGTGATTTTCCTTCATCAACAAATGTGGTTGTTTTAGGTTTAAAAGCAATTAAACAGAGGGTTAGGGTTATGTTTTTACATGTTTACCTTCTCTGGAGGTGAAGACACTGGTGGAGAACTGTGATCATATGTGACATCAACTTACATAAATCATTAAGAAACCTCTTACTATGTACACATTGATGCACATGCTTTGAGAGTGACAGCTTGCCATTTATTTCAAATCAATAGGGGCTTGTGGAGCCTTAGGGAAAACAAAAAAGAGTTTGATTGAGTACTCCAGCCCTGTCTTACTGTAGTTCCTCCAAATTGTGATGCACTTCTTGGTTTCAGTTATTGAGGATTTGATTTTGATGTAAATACCTTTACTAGAGGTCAGGATCTGCCACTAAATGTACATAGACTGGGAAAGATTTGCTCAAGATGTGCAGTTTCTAAGGTGTTTTTGTATGAACCTATCAGTTGTAAAAAGTAAGCACTGAAATTAAAACAGCACATTTCAAAGGGCCTTGCTTAGGGATGGAGTGGCCTTAGCAGTGGCTGTGAGCGTTTTCCCTCTCCTGATCTTGCTCTGGCCACCTCCTTCCACCAGCCCCAGCCAGAACAGCTTTGGATAGGGGGCAAATACAGATCCTTCCCGTTCTGGCCCCTCCTGCAGCCAGAGAGCACCTGCAAGACATTTACTCAGCCCAACCAAGAACTTTGGCAGGTGCTGGATGTACCTTGCCCTGGGAGCACCATCACACTTCTTAGTGTAATGTGGGGCACAGGCAAACATCCAGTGTCATCATTTTCTGTATGCGACAGTGCCTTCTGGCAGTGTCCTTGCTCTGCTTGTGCTCATCATATGCTACTTCCAGCCTGGCCCTGCTCTTTCCTTGCTGTGCTTTGTAGCCCTGCTGGGGAAATGAAGTCCTTGTGGTTCTCCTACTTCATGCTCACCCTCATCCCACCTGGTTCCATAAAATGCAGTGAAGCCCACGCTGTGGGGTGTGGGAGGTTGTTGCACTGCTGAGCCACCTTCCAAAGCAGCAGCAGCCAGCCAGAGAGCCCCTTCTGAGGGATCTGCTTGCACCATTGCTTACACTATTGTGTTTGAAAGGGGAGAGGGAATTACCCTGTGGATATCGTAGGGTTTGGGCAGCTTGAGGTAGACTGGCATTGTGTGTTGGGCATTATAGTTGTGGAAGGCATATGCAAGTTCCTCCCTTGCTGTATGGGGGGTGTTTGCAGGGAGCTGTGCCTGTGCAGAGGATTTCAGAGCATGGCATTACCAGAGATCTATGCAGCCATGATGCACTGACATCCTGATCAGAACATCTGATAATATTTTTAGATTTTTTTCAGTAATTACAAGACTCTTTTTTAATGTTTAAACCTTTTTCTTTATAATTCAAATTCTTTTTATAATGGCAACCCTTCTAATATGAATGATTGATGGTCTTATATTGGTTACATTTTGTATCACTCATAGAAGTCTCTTCTTGTGAGTCAGGCTGCTTACTACAGTATTTTTTTTTTCCTTGTAATTACTTTGTCTTTAAATGTTTCCCCATTTTTTTTCTTATTTTATTAACGTTTGATGAAAACACAGTAGTGAAGGTAATCTAGCACAGTAAAATGTGTGATAGTGAAATTTGGTAATTGGTTTTGTCTTTGATGCTGATAAAACCTGTCTCAAGTCAATTCAACTTTTTGAGTCCTAGCTTTCTCATTCCTGAAATGAGGCAGTAATAGCTATATCCCTTGTGAAAATGATCTAATAATAAAATACACTGAAGAGGATACATTTATATTTATAATTTAAATCAGCTATAAGGTGGTAAAACTACTTCTCATTGCAAAAGAAAGGATGTCTTAATTTATAATAATGAAAACACTTCTTACCACTGAAGTCATAAAAATGCAGTACTCTGCTTTACCTAGAAAATACAGACTATTTCTCTGATGTGACTTATCAAGAGAAATAGCTGGCCTTCTATACTTCAACATGTTAATTTTGCATGGATAATGTAATATATTTGTATTTCAAAACTATATTCAGTGTTCCTTCATGTAAGAGAGGAGGGGAGGAGAGGCTCCATGCCGGATGTGTGAGGCAGTAAGTTGGGATGCAAGTGATTAATTATTGATTCTTTCCAACTGAAAATAGTCAAAAATAAATATTGCTCTGTTTTTAATGTGTTTGGGTCAGATGGGGGCTAGTACATGTGTTTATACCTCTCCCTCCACCTCCACCCAATGCACAGTAAGCTATACAACCCAGTTGTGAAGAGCCTGTCATCCAGACGAAGGTAATACACCCTTTCATTCATGAAGGGATTGCAGGAGTTATTGTTCCTTTTTCAAAGTCAGAAACCTGAGAGGCTATTACCAAATTGGAAATAAGCTCTGTATGTCTTTAAGTAATGAAATCTTAACCAGCTGTCAGCAATTTATGTGACACAAGTATTCTCCAGCCTAATGATGGGATACATATGGCCTGACTTAATGTTGCTATGCTTTTTCCTTTCAGGAGGTTGTTCTTGCTCAACCACCCTCCAAACCTGCCCGCAGGAAGCTCCGGACGGAGGCACAAGGGCTGGAGACCCCCGAGCTTTCTCCCACTATAAATGTGACTTCTTCCCTGCCAGCAGTCAAGCCTCACCTCCCAGTCCAAAAGTAAAAACCTCTATCAAGCATGCCAAACTGCAGTGTGAGATCTGACGTAGCAGGGTTTGCTCTTTATGTAATTTTGCGCTTAATAGTTCTGTTTCTGAGGATGCTTCACAAGACACAGGTCTCTGAAATCTACATCAGTCTTCTCAAATGCAGACTAAGCCTGTGGTGACTGCCAGTGGTATTTGATAGGTAGCTAACCTCTTCAAAGGTGTCCTACTTCTGTACCTGCTAGACATGACTGAGGAGCAAGCCTGCCTGTTCAACCATCTCTAACACAACTTGTTTTGTATGTGAGGGTGCGTGTTTCTACCTTGCATGTGTCTTCTGGAATTTTGCTGCTTCATGTGTATAGATATGGCCAAATAAATGGCCAGGAAGCTGAGTCATGAAATGCTTGATGTTGGTCATATCCTTGTGATATTTCTTTTTTGTGAGGCATGTTGGAAACAGGCTTGTCACTGGGGTGAGACAAGCCACAGACCACTCGTCTGATAATGGCCAAACCCAACACGTGTTGTTTGCTCTTGTAAATACAGCTGTCAAAGCTGTCAGGTGATTTATAGGGATTTCACTCTATGTGTATTTAATAGTGGTGGAGAAGGGCTTGTACAAGTGGTCAGCAAAGGCACTTGAAATCCTGTTTGGTCTGTGCATCTCCCTCAGCTGAAGCACTGTCACCATCACCCAGGGCCTTGCAAATGACATCTGATTCAGTCTGAAACAAAATCAAGCTGCCCAAATCAACTGAGTGTTTCTTGGCAGACTGTTTATCAGTAGACTGAATCTGTGCTGCATAATTGGAGATTAGAATAAGTAATAAGACTCCTAGGATGCTCTTGAAGTACTATTTTGTGCTTTGGGAGTGCATATTCCATTGTGGTTCAAAGATAACGGCATTTGTTAACATCTCAATATTGTCTTGTCTGTATCTTTCCTAAAATGTTAAAATGGCCACAGACATATATTGTCCTGCCTTTTTTTTTTCCCCTATCATTTATTACTTTATAGCCTATGGAGAGTAGTTTGCAGGAAAATAGTGAAGCAGAAAACTGACAGTTCACTGGAAGATAACAGCATAAAGTCCTGTTGCTGTGCTGAGAGAGTCTATTGCAAAAATCAGTGTCAACACAGCTTCTCTCTTAACAGCTCTGTTAAGAGAGAAGAGCTAATGGGGACTGTGTGCCCCTGGACCATATTTAAGTAGGGCATCTGTTTTAGATCAAATCTGGCATTAAAGAGCTCTTGTTTCCTCATGTAAAACTTTAAAATAATTTATTTGGAAAGGGGCTTGGATATTCAGTCAGTATTTTCTTTCTTTTTTTGCTGTTGTTATCTCTCTTGCTTTGAACAGGTTGGTCCTTATCTACAGCTGTCTCTTTTTATACCTGTCTGCATAGCTGTCATTTCCTCCAGATCAGTTACCACAGGCTATGAAGCAATAAAAATTCTTAATTAATAAAATAAGTTCTTAAAAAAAAGGTACATCCTTTATTTTAGCAGCAAAAAAGCTGAGGAAAGTCAATCAGTCATCTTCCCATTTGTCATGTCAGATGGTTTTGGTGGAAATGACTGCTTTGAATAAAAGAAGTATTAATTTTTGAAGTAAAGAAGCATCAGAATCAGCAAAACTCTGAGACAGAATTTTCATGCCAATGTCCTTTCTTTCTGTATAGAATGATTTCTGTATTTTCTGTTAACCACTTGTGACTCTAAACTCTACAAGTCTCTGAAAACAGCTAATGCAAAGATACTGCAGTAAGCACAGCTATGCAGGGATCATTCTTAAGCTCAAGGAGAATGCAGTGATCTTGAAATAATTGAGACAGCCTAAAATATTTCTGTCATTCAGGTTAACAAGTTTCAAATATTCCTCCTGATTCAGGCATCTTATTTCATTGTTACATTTTTCTTCTCCTAAATCTGTAGTTTGTACCTTGTCTTTGACACGTAGTCCAGGGTGCAGAGAGTTATGCAGAATGGGTGGCTGCTCTTCTGTCATCAGCCAGTGCTGAGACTCTTAATTGAAATGTCTTGTATTTATCTGTCTGGCAGACAGTCTTCCAAGCAGAAAAGGGCTATTCAGACCGCTATACGAAAAAACAAAGAAGCCAATGCTGTGCTCGCCAGGTTGAACAGTGAGCTCCAGCAGCAGCTGAAGGTAAGGAATGCATTGAAAATCAGTGACAAAGCTCCCTGCAATCAGTTACGTGTCACCTCCAGCAGTATTGAAATCAGAGCAAAAAATAGGACAGTAATTGAAACAAGCACAGAGATGAGAGCTTTTAATGAGAGCACACTGCCATCATTCCTTGGGTCAGGTCTTACTTGCTTCCATCTTTAGCAGGCCAGTGCTGTTACCTGTGTGTTTTGCAGCAGGAAGAGACAGAGAAGTTTGTCTCAGTTCACAAAAGAGAAGAAAACTGAACTTGTCCTTCAAGTTGTATTGCTGTCTGGAAGCTTTCTGACAGAGCAGAGCTCTGCTGTTTAATAGAGACCAGAAGACTTGATGGGTACTCCTCAGGCACATTTTGCACTGAGGCTCGGGGGGGTTCAAGTGCACTCCCACTCTGAGCTCTGAGCCTGCCCAGATGGGGAAGCAGACCCTGGAGGAGCTGCAGTCCAGCCCAGCTCCCACACTGGAAGGGAGCCCTTTGATGGGAGGTTGGTGAGAGCCTGGCTGGCTGCCCTGTTCTGGAGCAGGGTGCTGCATCCCCAGAGTTCTAACACACCTCTCCTCCTGCAGGAGGTCCACAAGGAGCGCATTGCCTTGGAAACGCAGCTGGAGCAGCTTCGTCCTGTCACCGTCTTGTGACGTCCCGCGTGGCTGTGCGTGAGCAGGAGCAGAGCAGTGTCCAGCAGCCTTGCAAGGAGAGGAGTTCTGTGCAGCTGAGCAGGGTCTCTGCCAAGGCAGTGGGGGAGGATTGGCCTTGCTGGCTCTCTCTTCACCCCATTACACACATTTTGCCTTTGCAGGTGAGGAAGGTACAGAAAACAAATACCTGACTATGGAATATTTCCAAGTGGGGGATGCTTTGCCTTCTTTCCTCCCCCTTCCCAGCCTAATGTGTAAATGCAGTTTATCTCTGAAATGAATAACCTGAGAGTATTTTATTTATGTAAAGAATTCCTGATTTATATGTGTTTTGGCAGCACCTCCTGCCCTGATCATTAAGAGGTACAGCATTCCTGAGTTCTTGCTTAAATTGAAAACTCATCCTCTGACATGGGCTTCTGGGTGTTACTGATTCCTGTAGGATTGTATCATTGTAGAGTACCTGTGGATTTAACATACCACAGGAATAGAACTTGCAAGATGTACAGAATCTTTATCCTCAATCACATGTCAAATAATTATTTTCTTAGTACTGTTTATTATGCAATCACGGATGTATTTTAATGTTAGAGAACTTGTATTTTATTAGTTCAAATCATATAGGAGAACAGTAAAAAATACTAAAATATAATTATTTTGGAAATTAGGAAAAAAAAAATCTTTTTGAGCTACAGCTGTTTCTAATCACCAGTATTTGAGCACTTGCTTGCAACTACCAGTGTCTCTGCATTCTTTTAGCATGTTTGAGATGGCTGGTGTATAGCCTTTTTCTTTTCTTCTTTTCCTTTAACCAACAGTGTATTTCTAACAAGAGGTTAAAAATGCATTCAGGTAATTTTTATAAAAGCTATTCTATGTACATTTGTATTAGTCTGCTTTGTTGTCTTAATAGCTGCTGATTTGTTTTAAGGATGTGTACAAGAACTGTACTTCCAGAAGAGGCAAGATAGCAGAAGTGCTATGTGTGAGACTATAAAATGTGAGATGGAAGTAATTGCCTTTTACAGCAGGCTTTTGTTAAGGTTCCTTTGCACATCAGTGGAGATGCTACTGATAGGAGAAAGCTGCTAATGCCCATCTGTTTTCTAAAGGAAGAAGTAAAGATTAATCTTTAACCTGCATTTGATCCTGGGCCAGCTGAATCCTGTAGGGAGTTTTCCCTGGATGCAGTGGTGGCTTTGGTCTCAGTTCTTACAGTGGAAGCTGGCTAATGAATGTTGCAGTATTTCTTGGGGCAATACTCTTGGACTGGGTGACTTCAGACATAATAATGTCAACCCTGCTCCCACCATGGGTATAGTGTGCTTTACTGCACGGGGATGCCACCTACCTGTTGTCCACCTTAAACATGACCCTGCACACGTCTCACTGACCTGATTTAAGTGTATGTGGTTGCCTTGCAGAAATGGTGCAGCAATTTTGTCACCCTTGTGGGTGTGATGCTTGCTCCCTGTAGCTGTAGGATGGCCCTGGGGCTGAGAGGAAGGAGAAGCAGGTTTGAAGCAGCTGTAACCTCTCCTTGGGGTGTGTCGTGGTATGGCTGCCGTGGCATATCAGAGGGCACCAGAGCAGCCAAAAGTTTTGTTGAGAGATAAGAAAGGCATCACTGGGAGTGTTTGAAGTGGTAAGGAAACAGTCTACTTTTGCTGAAAGGAATGTGGAAGGGGGACATGAATCCAGAAGTCTGCAGGTGAAAATAAGCATTGGCAGAATTGTTACTGAAAGTCTGTTTTTGTAATGCACTAGTTTTGATTCAACTAAAGATCACTGTGTCAACCAGCAACAACTGTTCTTCTGGATTTGGGACTTCTCTCATGTGGCTGTTGCATAGCTGGGGTCAGATGGTCGTTCCTGGTCAGTGACAAAATGTGAGGAATGCAAGCTTTTCTGGGAATCTGCAAAAGAGCTGCTGCCCTCTTGCTAATAGTGGTATTGCTGAGAATTTATCATCATTTATTTCATTTGTTCATAATACTACTGACTCATTCCTGAGATTTAATGAGGTTAAGTGCTTGCTCTGTTTGCTTTTTAGTTCATACATTGTAATTTGCTTAATAAGACCTTACTATGTCATAGGAAATAATCATATGGCACACTTGTTTTTTGTTTTATGGGTAATTTTTAAGGAAGGCTTTTAAATTATTATAAAGAACCATGTACACTGCATTTTTAAGGCAGTAGAGGAGTTTGTCATATTTGAAAGGAGCTTCCTTTGAAATAATTTCCCATTTATTTCACCTGAGTTATTCATGGAATAGACACTCTTCAAGGGAAGAGTGGAGGAGTCTGCTTTATACCGTCTTTTTCAAATGTCTCCCTTCTAAAATCCAGTTTTTTTCATTCACTGGAGATTATGATACTTGCTTAGCCAACAATTAAATACTTGCTCGGCTGTTACTTTACCACTGGATTAATACATAAAAGTATTTAACAATCCCTGCATTTTAGCACTGCAATCATTTGGCTGTTACTTTACCAATGGATTAATACATAAAGTATTTAACAATCCCTGCATTTTAGCACTGCAATCAAATACTCCACTCAGCTTCAATGACTAGAATGTGAGTTGATTTGTATTCTTTTTTGGTGAAATATCAGCATGATGATGATGATGATACACCACTTCATACATCAGTAAAGTGAAATATTCAGGGAGAGGTGTTGATGTGTTATACATATGATGCCGGAGGTTACTCTTCTGTATGTCTCAGTGGTTAAGCATTTATGATAGCCCACACAAAATGAAAAAAAGTGTCTGTTCTTGGGAAGCTGTTGGCATTTTGAGGAGAGAGAAGGCATCATGAAGCTATGACAGTGCTTCTGTCAGTTTCTCCATGCAGCCATGCTTATGGCTACTGTTAACAGTCCCTGGCTGGTCCAAATTCACATCTAAGTCCAATATTAGAGATTTTCTTAAAAATTACTTTTACTTTAGAAAAATGTGGGTGGATCAAAATCATAATTTCTTGCAGAAACCTTTGCTTTCTCAGACTTTGGATGGGAGGTGCTCCTACATCCAAAACCATTTGGTCAGAAAGGGAGACCTCACAGGCTTAATGTTCAGGGTACTTTCTTGAGGTACAGGTGAGTGATCAGGTTTAAGCCCCTGACATCCCTGACCCAGAACAGCAACTAAGGTTTGCCTGCCCCAGCTGCCAGCCTGATGAAGGAGTGGGATCGCATTCCCGTGCATGAGCTCTCACTGTCCTCAGTTTGTGGTTTCTCTAGGTACTTGGGCAGAGCACAACATGCCCAGCAAGAGAGGAAAAGTGGGAACAGGAGCACGGCATCCTTGCATCTGAGAGATGTGCTGACCATGAGCCTGGTGCCCCTTTTCAAGTCTTCGGTGCGCAAATAAATATTTTTGTCTACAGAACAGGGCTAGGCAGAGCAGATAAAGATCTTCCTCAGTGTGTGTGTAAGTGTGCACTCAGGTGTATTCCATTTGTTCGTGCTTTTCTTTATGGGTCTGTTAACATTCATATCACATGATACCTATATTTGTTTCAATCTGTGGTAATTCTGTGGTGAAAAAAGAAAAATGCCCAGCTAAGTGTAGTGACTGATTGCCTTTGTAGATAAGCAACTTTCATCTGAGCCTTTCAAAATAAATAATGACCTGGTAATTAAGCAAGGCAAACAGTTTTCATTTCTGAGGCATTCCTTTATTAAACAAACTACCTGTGAACACACATTAATCCTTAAGGATCAATGTCCTTTTCCTAGTTATTAATATTATACTAGAATGCAGTGGAAGCATTACCAACTCTTTCCAGGAAGTCCTCAGTTCGCTCTTCCAGAGAGTTTTGGTGATGTAACAAAAGTGTGTTTAGTCAAGGCAGCCTTGTTACTGGTAAATTGTTGGATATCCTGTTAAAGTCAAAGTATTATCTTCAGACTGCATGGCAGTAGTTTTCCTGTTGGAAATTCTGTATCCACATCAGGGAGAAGAATTTGTTTGGCTATCATCCAGACAGTTCCAACTTGAGGGATGATCACAGGACTGGAGCACCTCTCCTATGAAGACAGGCTGAGTTGAGGTTGTTCAGCCTGGAGAAGAGAAGGCTCTGGGGAGTCCTTATAGCACCTTTCAGTACCTAAAGGTGCCACAAGAGAGCTGGAGAGGGACTTTCTATACAAGCATGTAGTGATAGGACAAGGGGGAATGGCTTCAAACTGAAAGAAAGCAGGTTTGGATTAGATATAAGGAAGAAACTCTTCACTGTGAAGGTGGTGAGATACTGCAAGAGGTTGCCAGAGAAATTATGGCTGCCCCACCCCTTGAAGTGTTCAGGGCCAGGTTGGAGGGAGTTTTGAGCAACCTGAACAGTGAAAAGTGTCCCTGTCCACAGCAGGGGGGGTTGGAACTAGATGATCTACATGGTCACTTCCAATCCAAACCAGTCTGATTCTACAACACTGCCAAGGCTAGCCAGCATAGGGTGATGAGGCTGTGCATGGTAAAATGACCACAAAGGGATGGCTGGCATTTGGAAACCTTCATGGGAAGCATTTAGGATGGGCATGTGTGAAAATTGCCTGTTGGGGGTGCATAGGTTTCTTTCCTCCCAGCTGAGCTTCCAAATCAGGAGGCAGAGATCTGTAAAAGTTGCTAGCTGGGATATGAGGGATGTCCATTTTCCAGTACCATCAGCCTTTCTGTCTCCAGCATACACGGTCTTTGACAAGAAAACACATGGGTTCATGAAGTCACGTATTTTATTGGCTAAAGAGTAAAATATTTTTTTCAGGAAAAAAAAAAATCTTAGTGATTTAGTATCTTTGAAAAGAGATTATGTATTTTGGAGCTTTTTTCAGCTATCTTGATATGTGCTATGAACATATGCATTATGTTTTACTCTGTTACGGATTTTTTGATACAAAGGAGGTGTATTGCAAGCATTATGGTTGTTAATCTAAAAAAATGCCCCAAGGCTATTATATATTTGAATTTTAACTTATAAATTAGATAGCCAGATTTAAGTAATTTGTTTTCACAGCTGCAGACTGTCCCCATGGTAAGCTGCAAAATGTATAGTGTTCTATACTATGCCCATCTAATTTTGGAAAATGTATGTGATATGAAGCTGGGTGCTACATTAAAATAAAAGTGTCCAATGAGTTCAAATTGCCTTTGCTTTTGTGGTTTATTTAGGATGTTGATGGTACAGATCTGCCAGGAGACCAGAAACTGTGACACCCAGTGGAAAAAATACCATGTTGAAATGGCTGACCTTTAGCTTTGAAAGATGAAATCACTTACATTGGAATTGTGTGTACACAATAGAGACAGAGAGAGACTTATTTAAAGTGAAATCATATTTCCTTAGGCTCCAGTTAAGTCAAAACTTCATATTTGCTTTGTCAGGCCTTGCTTTGTCAGAATTCAGACATAACTCCCTGATTTAGCCCAAAGAGGGACACTCTTTCACCACTGTGAAGGAAAAACCACTCCCAGCCTCCAAGAGATCCTTAGTCTGAGGGTGGCCAGGCAGGACCTGTGAGAGGACTCCAGGTGTTCCACCCTTCATCCCTGTGATCAGTGGGTTTGGCCCCTTGTCAGCTGTGAGAGCTGAAATTAAGCTGGAAAAAGGAAACCATTTGAATAGCTGGCCTTTGTGGGCAGGGAGCCAGAGGGTACAGCATATTCTGCTCTTTAACTGGTGTGATTTTTAAGAATTATGTCACAGCTATCCAAAGAGCAGAGCTTTAAAAGAGGAAATAATGAGTGATAAATTAATTCTTCCAGCATTAAGCCATGACAAGGGATGTTTTATTGGCCTAGAAGTATGTCTCTGGTGCATGTGAGGCACAAGGCCAAGGCGTTAAAAACTTGTAAATATCCTGTGGGGAGCTATTCTCCATCAGCAGTGGGATGGATTTAGATGGCTCCTCCATGCTTAGTTTTTACAATTAGATGGTACTCTGGGGTGCCTTCATGCAAGTCTAGATTGGCTCTCCTTATTTAAATTCATGGTTCCAATAATCTTTCTTAAAAATTAAAAATACATCTTCCTGCTCTGGAGAAAAGTTCTTAGTTGAAGTGGGAAAGAAAAGGAGAAGCTTCAAAAGCCCCTTTTAATCTGTTTTTTAAGGTAGTGCTGCTTTACAAGTGTGCCTGCTTCAGTGGGATGTTTACATGGATTTTGCAGTAAAGCAGAATAAAGGAAAATTTACAAAGAAATTGAATCCCTAGGTATCTCTAGCCCATAGCCAAATCAGAGCTCCTTCACCTCATGGTCTCGTTTCTCCTCCTGTTTTACAGTGCCCTCAAATGCACCTTTGGAGCAGGAGGCCTTGGGGATGTGAGCTCCACTTGCAGCACGCTCTCTTATCCTCATTATTGCCTCAGTACCCACTGTTTTGGGCACACATCTGGAAGGAGTGGCATTAGCTGTGTTCCAGATGTGTTAGTCCAGTAGTCCCCCTGCTACATGCTGAATCAGTATTTCCAGTTAAATCCTGGATTGGTTTATGTTTATTGATTGTTAACTTAAATTGCATGAGACAGGAAAATATCTTATCTGAGGACATTTTGAAGACGCTTTATGCATCAGAAACGTGATGGGCTGGACAAGACTAAGGCTATATATTGCATCTAGTCTGTTTTTTGTGGGAGGGAGGGAGAGTGGATGGGAGGGAGAGGGGGAGATTGCTTCCTTAGCCTCAGCTGGTCCCACAAGAAATGTTATTTTTTTACATGCCGTCCTTGGTTCATGTAGGGAGCTCATCAGTGTGCTGTGGTTTTCAGTAAAACATGGGTATAACAGCTGGCAGATGGGCAGGTAATGCCTCACTGCCACAGGCCCTCCAGCAGGACCTCATGGTCCTCCAGAGATGAGCAGGAGCAGAGCAGGATAGTGTGTCAGCCCTGTGACAGCAAACAGCATCCACAGCCCAGCGAGGAGGAAGGAGGAGAAGGAGGCAGTATGCCAGCTCTGGAAAAGTACCCTGGAAAAGTAATCATGCTCCTGAGGTGGCAGGGAAGTCAGTGTGCCTCTGCCACTTTGCTCCATGCCCACACGAAAGGATAACATGCTTAAAAATGCTCTGCTGGACTACTCACTGCCAGGACCCTTGGAGCAGGGCTGCCACTTGATACATGAGTTATTCCCTTCCAAGGTCACTTCAGGAATTCAGTAGTTTGTGCTGCCTGTCACAGGTTTAGGTTGTGTTAAGGCAGTGATACCAGTGTTGAGCAGACCAATACAGAGCACGCATTGTTTACTGCAGTTTTCACACTCTTATCTGAGAGGAAAAGGCCAGCACGTGACCTCACCTGGATTTATTTTCCAGCCTCGTGCTGTTTGTAAAGGACGCTGTATACTTGGTCAGAAATAATGGCTTCCTGTTTCATTAATGAGTTCTTAGAGCAATTTCCCTTCAGAGTAATCACCTTTGGTGAAGGAGGTGTGCACTTCCAAAAGCAATTGGCCCTCCCA